GCAGTGCGTCGTTAAGATGTAACCACCGCCGCTTCGCTAACCCGCAGGTCAACGAAATCCTGTCGAGAACGAGGTTAGGCTTAACCAGTCGTAATCGTTACAGATACATTCCAGATAGCGCATTGAAATTCGTTCGGAAAATTGGATCTTCGATTGCAATGTTAAAACTACCTCAAGCACTAGATTGTTGCAGGCCCACCTCTTGAGGAAAGCCTCAAGCGTAACTGCGTAATAGCTATAGCTGCCAAACTCGGGGTCCTGTCTTGCCAGAAAGATCAGCCTCTCCGCGTCGAAGAAGTTGTCAGCGAATTGATAGAGGTCGTCCAGTGTCTTAAAGTGTTGCATAACAAGGCGCTCGTTCAGTAGATCGAACCCTGGCATGTCATGGATCGGCTGGTCTCGGTTTTTGCGCATCGCCTCGCGGATGCTTGGACGGACGCATGACTTTTGCGGCCGATGCTGCTGCATGTTGCCTTCTTTCTATGGTTATCTATGATCTATAATCACATCGCCTTCTGTTGATACAAGCAAGATGCGATTCGTAAGCAGCGTTCGATTAGAGGCACACAAAAGTGAGCTGCATCATGGCGTGTTCTTGAAGGCCCCTCCATTGCTGTTCTGATCTTGCCCACCGGGGACAATCCTCCGCTTTTAAGAGAGGGATGCAAAAGAAAAGAACAGAACAAAAACGAATTCTTCGCTGACGGGTTCGAAGCTACGACATCAAAAGGGCACCATCTGTTGTAGCTTGGCGTACTATTCTGACGCCACTATGGCCATTGCGCCATTTCCTTCTACGTGCGGTTTAAGATGAATGCTCTTTTCTTTCTGCAATAGACTTGGCAAGGTTCATTCGCGCGCGACCGCAAAAAAGATAGGTCCTTGATGATATGAAGCGTTGCTCGAGCCAGGTTTCGAACTCAGGTGTTGCAGGTTTTGAACTCGAGCAAAACGCCACGGACGACGCTCGCGGTCGACTGACCACTTTGGCCAACGACCTGCGTCAACAATGAACCGTGGCTTCGCAGCTTTTCGCCGATCTAAATGTTATATACTTTACAAAGGCCTGACCCTCAAAAATTCAATGTCCACAACCGGATTCGAACCCGGGCCATACAAAAGGCACCATCGAGTGTCCTTCGTGCTGGCCACACCGGCCAGCGCCGATGCACTCAGAGTCTTTCGTGCCTTTCTTCTGATGCTTAAATCAAAATTTATATAGGCTGTTTGCGAGACGTTCTGTGCGCGGCGGCCGGGCCGGGTAAGTTGCCGCGCGCCGCGCGACGGCGGCACTGCAGCGCGCGACCGCCGCGAGCACTCGCGGCACTGCGCATGAGCTCAGGCTAGCGCCGGCCTGTGCATGCGAGACCGCGTGTGCGCGCGCGGGACATTGTGCACTTGGGCTTAAACCTCCAGGGTTTGGTGGACCAATAGAAATCCAGGGATTCAAATCCGAAAGCCAATCCTAATCAAACCTATGAACGCTGCGTTGAGCTTCAAGAGCAACTGTCTGGAAGCTCTTTGCAGACTCTGATCCAAGTTAGATACTTTAGGTGAGACAGTGATACATATAAGGACAATTTTCAGGACGTGGTTTCAGCTCAGGACTTGTTCGAAGTTGAAACAACAGTGACGTGCGCTTTTATTTCGTGGCCTGCGTTCCGTTCCAAGAGCAAAATGCTCTGCTAGAACTCATTGTCTTTATTCACGTTGATCAGCCAGTGCTCCAATTGCTGTCTTCTTTGAGCGTGTGAGAGATCTACGCTGTCTTGATGTGCTGATCTGATTCAAAAGGGCCTTCGCTTTTCTTATTTTCTCGTTTCAAAACACGCGCACCAGTGGCTGTACATCCTATCCGAAGCGGAGCTGAGAAGATGCCTCAGAAAAGGTCAAGCTTCGGCGAACAAGGGTGCAATCCGAATCAGTGTCGAGCTGTCTGCTTGATTGTCGATGAGGACAACGCGAAGTCGTCATTCCCTCCTGCGGTGTTGGACTTGCTTCACAGAATGGGGAAGAGAATCGGCGTAAGCTCGTGGATGCTGATGGTGCCAATGACGTCGTGTGCTTCCTATTTCTTGGGACCGAAAGCCGTTGTGGAGATCGAGGGATTAGACTGGAAGAGCAATCTTATTCACTGGGGGTTTTGTGTCGGTCCCAGTGGCTTTGGAAAATCCCAAGCCTACCAGAAGATCAGCAAGAATATCGACTTGGTCGAGCGGATCATCAATGATGAGATTATGGAGCACGTGTTAAAGCACCTGGACCGGGAAATCTACAGAGAAGGTTCGGCTGAGCTGGGGAACAAAACAACCGCTCAGACCTAACTACTCTGCTTCTACTCTGCTTTGTTCTTGTTTCATCGTTCTGCAGCTGATTTGCTCTGTTTCTCTGTGCAGCTCATGTACCGCCTCTACTGGCTGACTCACAGCTTGGAAGAGGACAAGAACGTGACAATCTTTAAGCTGGCAGGCAGTGCGCGTGACGTGTTTGGCCAGGGCTTTGACAACATCCAGAAAGTGCTTCGAGAGCTCTACAACAAGGACTTACTCCACAAAGCAGGTGAGTGCGACCTTTCGAACCAAAGAATTCTATCAAGCGTCTGAAAATAGTTGCTAACAGATGACGACTTGCTAATACCGATGGCTAGTGCATCTCTGGAAACTCGAAAGGGTGAACTCGACAGACAAAGCGCGCTTTTGCAAGCACAGAAAAGCGAAGGTGTCAAGCACGCGCTTTCGATGCAGGGATCATCTCGAAGGCCAAGGGGGAAGTGCTTCAGATATCCGCCATCTTCAGAGCCATGAGCCTGGTACTCGATCCTTCTTACCAGTCTCTAGTTGAGCAGCCCGAGTCCTTCTTGATCACCGAGGAGGACGTCCGGCAGGCATGGAGCTTCGTGAACCTGACAACGAGGCAGCGCATCGAGTTCGAGAATGATCAAGAGGTAATAAAAGTTTGTTCAAAGGTCCTCGGGTGGAAGCAGCTCGGACATCGGGACGAAGAAGATGAAGAGGAGGACAATGATGACGCTGACCACCCCACCGACGAAATGGTAAGCACGCATCGGGCTTATCACCTATTTCTCGTCTGAGGGTTTCTGATTTACCACTTGCAGGTAACGCAGGAGCTTGCTTTTGCGCAGCTAGATTTGCTGTGCACTTTGAAAGCTGATACGCGACTTCCTAGCAGAAAGACTTATTGTGGTGCGCTTTTCGCAGAACGACTTGGACCGGAGGGCCAGGAGGATGTTCAAGATGTTCCCGGATGAGACCATCAGCCGGATCGAGGTCTCCAGAAAGAGGACGCAGGGCAATAACAACGAAATCAAAGAGGTTTTCGACTACATCTCCTCAAATGACGACGATTCGACGCACTACTTCGGCTCTGTCCAAGAGATGGTCAAGCCGCAAGTCAGCAAGCAGAAGCAGGAAGTTTTCATCAAGATGATTCCAAAGTCCGAGGACGAGAACATCCAGCTCATCAACAACCTAAACCGCATCGGAATGACCCTAGACGCCTTTCTGCCGCCACGCGCGCGCAAGAATACGTAAGTGGCGAAAGCTTAGGATGACTCGAAGCAGAATTCCGCTTCAATCTGAACTCGATGCCACTGATCTACAGTTCTCTGCAGAATAAATTCCATCGAGAAGACGGATCCGGCTTGTTCCGAGAAGACTTAAACTTTGCTTTTTGGCTGCTGTCCAGGAAGAAAAGCGCCGGCAGCAACTCCGACACATCCGAGCCAGGCAACACTTCGTCGCGCGGTTCTGACGGCCAGGAGATGGACATGGATTAGTCCAAGAGACGCATGCAGATTCGTTACCTGATGGGGCAGTGTGGAAGTTGTAGTTGTAGCGTCTTGGAGTTGGTGCGTAGTGGCAGCGTGGGCAGCGTCGAGAGCCCGCAGCTGTCTTTCTTGCTCAGCGTTCCTCTTCAGATGATCGAGCTTCGTAATCACTAGGATCATGAAGCGGAACCTGTGCTGGGACATGTACCTGCAGTAAAATATACATAGCTTTGTAGACGCTGCCTGGATGCAAAACGAATGCGACTGTGCAAGAACGATTGAGAAGTAGGATCTCGAAGCTTGTTTTACTGCTGCAGACCATACTTAACAAAAGGTCTCTCGCTTAACTTGCATAACAAACATGGTCAGGTTGCTTCGGAGCACTGACGGATGAAGAGTGCTCTTACCTGAGCGAGGTTCTGAACTGGCCCCACCATTTGAACCGCTGTTCGCACACCGACATGTTTGCAGACTCAAGCTCCGGATGCTTGTACGGGTTCGTGTGCTCTGCGCACCACCGCCCCACGTGGTTCTTCTTGAAATGAAACTTGTCCACTGCATGGGTTATACAGAAACTAATGTTAGCGATGCCCAATGAATGCAGACAGTGCAAATATGTCTTCTCTGCACATCCCTCGCTTTAAGCGAATCCATGCCAGCTGAACTGCTGATTACAAAAACTCGGTGTAGTAGGCGTGGCACAGCCACGCCTAGCAAACTAACCCTCTTTTCGCATCTAACCAGGCAACCTTCAACCAATTTTTGCAACGCCGACCTATGCAGCCTTATAAAACACGTCGAAATGAACCCGTGACACCTTTAAATTCGAAATTACATAGAGCTACGAACTCAGCGCTCCAGCTTAAAAATCGCTGCCCTACTCAGCATAACACATCGCCACCCTAGTCAGCCTAACCTCAAAACAGCTCGACTTCTGCTGACGTCAGCGCTGAGCGCGGTGACAGCAGAACCACCCGGAACCGAATGTCGAGACTGCCCAACACCTCAGCTCTCGAACGCACCCTTGCATACAAACTTTCATAAAGTTCAGCTCATAAAAAGTCTGCTCGAGTAAACTCTATTTCACCGGGCAAAACTCGCGTTTGCCTGGTAAAACAGCTTACATCCTAAGTACGCTGACGTCACCTTTGGCCGTAAGCGTTGCGCTCACGATAAGAACCTTACAGAGGACATCAAGACGCGTCTATAGAATCTTTTCGATCTGAAATTGACCCACTCTACGTAATTTGACGGCTTGGGATACTCGGCATACCGCTGTCAGGCTCGCGTATGCACGCCGGGCGGTGTGAATGGGGCCCAATCGTATAACCGGGGCTCTGCCCCGGCTACTGGATGGACCCATTCACACGCGAAAGTTTGGCATGAACAGATTGGACAAGCTCCTTACCGACTTTCTTAGTGTCTTCGTGGAACTCGCGCGTCTTGTCGCTCATCGCAGTCCGCTCGCCGCTTGCAGCAAATCGTGCCCAGTGGCACATGTCGTCCATGCCTATGAACTCGGGCAGGCGCACGTGCGCAAACAGGAGCATCATGTAGTGGTGCACCTGAAGTTAGGAGGAAAGACGAAAGGTATCACATGTTGGACGGGAAAGTCGAGCAGATCACCGGATCAGACGCTGACTGCGAAGCTCAGCCCGTTCGGACGTTCAAGGCCTGACAACGAGGCACAGCGGCTATGGATGTCACGCCAGAAGGACGCGAAGAGTGGGCAGAAAAAAGGGGCTGGAAAGCTTCTTGGGATGCTCCTTGTTGAATCAGCCGTGTAAAAGTCTGAACATGGAGCTCGGTAGTGAAGTGATCTCGATGTGAGCACGAAGGAGCTCGATTGGGGAGCAGCAAAGGACCGACGTTTTGGTAGGAACGGCTAACCCGGCCCGTTACTCACCATGGTGGTTGACTCTGACAGAATCAACTCCAGAGGGGGAAACATGTAGCCGCACGCCCAGAAGGCGACCAGCGTGCCGGCTGTCACGCCGCGTCCGTCCGAGCTCGTGCGCGGGGTGCATGCTGTGAGCTTGGTCTTACGGCGCGGCTTCTCGGCATCCGGTTCTGGTGCGGGATCCGGTAGCTGGTCCTCCCGGTCGCGCGTGTAGAAGTCCCCTGCGGCGTAGTGTTCGTATAGCATCAGAGCCGCAAGATGCAGCGCCCCCTTAGAGCAAACAATCGGCTCAAACCAAGAGCAGAAGCGTCGCATCGCGAACGAAGACATGCTGCCACGAAAGGGGGAGTTCAACCTCACGGCCTCTGAGGCTGACCTTGCTGCTGCACATGCATGTTTCTCTAAGACCTTGTATCACAGTGGATGGAGAACGGTGCTTTACCTTGGGGCTGCGAGCGCAGATACTCGTCCAGGAGGCCCCTGCCGAATACAGTCACGTTCTCCTCGGGCTCCCACGTGTTCTCGGCGGCCGGGCAGCCCTTCCACTTGACCAAGTAGATTGGTACCTGAAGAGAGTGGGGTAGAAGAGTTGGGTAGATAGTGGGTTAAAAGCGTAAAGCGGCTGGCAAATAAGAGCAGTATGTAGGCGGCTTTGCTAGACTTCAGAGTTTGTGCGTCAAGAGAAACGCAACAAACCGGATCCCTGGGTGGCTGATTCACCAGGCAGAAACGAGGTTTGAGAGTTCTGGAATGTTCATTGGGCTTTTCAATCAGGGAACACCTTTGAGGTTTTGAAGGTTGATAGACGGGCATTCCAAACACTCTCTCTAGCCGCGAGTTGAGAACTTGAGATGCTGAAAGCTCTTGAGACGTTAACGTCGAATGCACGTAAATCTGCTGTCTGTCATCGCAGCCAGCAAAGCCCGTCTGAGCCTGTGCTCTTTCGGCAGTGTTGATTTTACGAAGGTAGCTCATGCTGATTCAGAAGCGCAGAAAGGCAGACTGAATGTTGTTCAATAATGGAAGAAGTCAATGGTCGTCTGGAAACCGATAACATCTCTGAAACCTTGCGTGCACGATCAAACAGGCGTCAGACCAAGCACCGCATGCGCGACGAGGAATCTTAAATGAAAGGGAGATATGTCGAGGCTTACCCCGTTCTTCAGCATGCTCATCTCTATTCTCTCCGCCTCATACAACGAGTCATCTTCCTGCAGCAGCTGCCTCTTCCTCCGCGTCCGCAAAGACACCGGCCCGGCGTCCATATCCCACTTGTCAGCGGACGCAGCTGCCTCGGGCCCTGAACCTCCCCTGCCTACAGAACCGCTTTGCTCTTCTCCCCCTTCCCCCTCGTCTTCCTCGTCCTCTTCCTCAGCATACTCATCGTCGCTGTCCAGGTCCCGGAGATCTATCTCTTCCACATCGCCCGCCCCAGCCTCGGCAACCGGACCCTCCCCTCCTCCCCGAGTTCCTTCCGGATGCTCTGGCTCACTTTCCGCATCGCCCTGCGCAACCGCACTTGCAGCTGGTGCGCCTGCGTGATGCAGGCGGCAATACTTTTTGTTCTTCAAGGGGGTTCTTGGGCAACCCTTCACAACCCTGCCGATTGCAGTCTGAAAGAGCTCTTCATCCTTTTTTGCACAACAGGCGCGAAAGACTTTGGCATTGCCGTCAAAGTGGCAGTACCTTCCACAAAGCCCGTTCTCACACTTCTTGCTGTGCTCAAGGGCTTCGTCCCGCAGATGGCACCAAAACGGATCATTGAGCTTGTTGAGGATGTTGTCAATTGGCTCACGCAAATCAATGTCATCCAGCAAGCTTGGACAATGGTCCTGACAGAACCGGACCGCCCAGAATTGAAAGTATGCCAACTCAAAACGCTCCCTGTTTAAACTCCCTCTTAGAGTCCGCCTTCGCCGCAGCCGCTGGAGAGCTGCTTCGGGCTCTTCTGAGAAGCGGTCCAGATCGAAGGATGCGTTGTGGGCGCGAACAGCAGAGACAAAGCTTGCATGCATGTAGTACCTGCAGAGATGAAAAGGGGAGGCATGAGACCAACAGACTGACCACAAGACTGACGTGTGTCTGCATGCATATAAAACACATACAGTCAGAAGCCTCGATTGATCCACTCAAGCAGATTGGCAGGATCGCGCAGCATGGTTTTATCAGGGTGTCTTGCTGTTAGTAAGGAGACGCAATTGCATTTGCTGCAGGTTGAGCAATGCTCAGAGAAACCCATCCAGGATGTGTGTTCGGCAGATCTCTAAGCACTTGCTTTCTTCAAGCAGATTTGACAGGAGAAGAAGCATTTGCACAGAGACGGAGCACTCACAGATTTTGGTCGTGTCGCCGAAGCAGTTGCTTGCTGATCACCGTCTCTCCTGACAACTCTAACCAGGTGTCATTGTCATGGGCCGCAGGGTATGGCCGCCGTACCTGGGAACCTGGTGGGCAGTAGTAGCTGATTGAGAACACCGCATTGCATCCAGGACAGAACTTCTCTTGGACGAGCCCTTTGCCAGGCGGGCCGTCATGCGGAAAGAAGAAAGGCCTCCTAGGCTTTGCCTCGTCCACCCACCTCAGCTGCTCACAGCACAGGAAGCATTTCGTTGACCGTGGGAATGCAACAAAGAGCAGGGACTCTCTCTGTGCAATCTCTTCGACAGAAGGGCGCTTTGCGCCCGCAAGAAGCGACAGATCCCCTGAAGCGCACTTCAATTTGTCAATCACATTCTTTACCATAACTCTGTCGATCTTGCTGTGCGGCGGCAGGGTGCTGTTCACAATGGAGGCAATAAACTCTGTCCGAAGTGGGAACGGCTGCGGGAATAGCTTGAGGCAATCCAGTAGCATGACAAAGCTCATAAGGCAGAGGGGCGCTGCAACGGCATCGAACCTGCCCACAGGATCTGAGGAGCCCGCATCTGCTGTCTTCTGTTTCTTGGAGGACATTTTGA